AATTTAAAATTAAACATTGACTCAAAAACCATTTACTTGATATCATACAATTCAATACAATGAGCTAAATGCAATGACCCCGGAACTAAAGAAGCAAATAAGAGGAGTATCTTAGGCAACTTTGGGGTTCAGAAAAGATCCCACTGAGAAAGTAAGTAGGACTTGGGCACCACACAGCCTAGGGCAGCCCCTTTCTACTCAAGAACTGGGGGTCTCACTGCCCTATAACTTCAGGACCAGCAGGGTTAGCTGCTGATAGTCTCATTCCAACCTCTCTTCAAGGTTCCTCTACTTTAGCAGTTCTAATGACATCTACCTGCAACCATGTGGGCACACGCTGTCAGAAAAGTTTAGATGTTAAGATTATGTAAGTGCTGCTATAACAATTTCTTTAATGAAAAGAATGTAATTCTAAAGCACACTGAATCTAAAACTTAAAAATAATTGTTGATACAGTGAAATTGTCAACAGAGAAGTAGTATTGTTTGAATCTGTAATTCAACAAGTCCTAACACCATTTTTTTTTTTAAGTCTTGCTGCCAATGTGATGACTGTTGATCTGTAATAATGGGTATTATTATGGCAATATCTTTCAGATTGCTATAAACACTTGTCAGGAGATATATGTATTCAAAGGCATATTTATCCTATTAAAGATATATATATATATATAAGCAGCAGATCATTATTTATGAGTAGCTTTGATAGCCAGATATAGAACCTTCCAGAAGACAGAAACCCCCTCCATATACACAAGTAACTGGGAGCAGTCTCAAATCAGCCAATCTGATTTTATTCCAACCAATTTTGTTGGCTTTCAGGTGGTCTGACCAATCACCCTGGTTTACTGGAGACTGAGGGGTTCCTGAACAAAGTGCTTTCTGTGCTAAAATCAAGATGGTACTGGGAAAACTGGGATGATCTGTTTCCTCTAGTTCTGTGTCTTCATGAAAGTCAGTAGAAGATATTTCTGTTATGAGTTGAATTGTATCTCCTGCCCACCCCCATAACTTGTATGTTGATGTCTTAACCCCCAGTAGCTCAGAATGTGACTGTGTTTGGGAAAGTCTTTAAAGAGCCAACGAAGTTTAAATGAGGTAGCTGGAATGGACCCTGATCCAATATGACTGGTGTCCTTACAATAATGAGAGATTAGAACACAGACATACTGAGGGACCCATGTGAAGACACAGGGGAAAGAAAGTTCTCTATAAACCAAGGAGAGAGGCCTTCAAAAGAATCAACCCAGCTGGTACCTTATTTTTGGATTTGTAACCTCCAGAATCAGGAGAAAAATTAATTTCTCTTATTTAAGGAACATATTATATGGCAGCCCTAACCAAAAACACAGTCTCTAATAGTTATTTTTGACTGTGTGCATTTCGACTGACAGTTAGAGCCTAATCTCCTCTTCCTGAGAGTTTCTCTTCTCCTCAGGCTTCCTCCTCACTGTTCATACAGGAAGATCTGTCCCCTGAAATTCCTTCACCTAGACTATGGCCTCCACACATCCCACTTCCCTTTTCTTCTAGCACCTTGCTCCTTCATACTCCTCTCTTTTTTTTATTATTAACTCTATAACTCATTAAACTATTTCTCAACCCTTCCAAACTTCCTTTAACCATGGCACTCCATAAATATTAGTCAGATACATAAAGGATGACACCAGCTTCTCCTTCCTCGCTTCTTTCTCTTCACTCCAAATTCTTTTGCATTTATTGTTCCCCGTCTCCATTTCCCACTCCCTTGTCAGCCCCCTATAACCTGGTTCCTGGCTCTCTTGATTATATTGAAACTTTAGAGTAGCCTAGACCACAGCCACTGGTATCAGCACTATCTTGAGAATATTATAATGAGGTCTCCTTTTCTTCCAAAGAGAGTGCAAGGAGGTTTCTTTCCTTAGCTGCATAAGCATCCCCTGAAGCCATGCTTGAAATTTCATAATTCCCCAGTAAACAGTTTCTTCTTTTTCTGACCTTTTAGGAACTGTCTGTAGTATCTTACACTGTTGAACACTCTCTGACCCTTAAAACTCTCTCTTCTTTGGTTTTCCAAGCCTTCTTCCTACCTTCAGTTGCACCCGAGGAGTCTTTAAGTGTCTCTGTCTTTCTCCCCTCTCTCTTGCTATACACACACACACCCACACACACCAACTCCAGAAATAGTTGCTCATCAAATTTCTGTTCTTGGTTCTCTTCTCTTCCAACTCTCTTTGGTCACTAATGTTTTAGAAACACACTCATGACAACCACCACCACATCTTTGCAGTTATCTCTTGATTTAGATCACCAATCCTATGTCTCTCAGAGCATCAGGCTTGAATTTCCAATTGAATATTAGTCACTGCCACATGGTCTCATAGAGCCTATTATGATTAACATGACGAAAACTGAACTCATCGTGTTTCCACAGATTCTTTCTCAGTTATGTTACCATTCTAATTACTCAGACTAGAAAACTCAGAGCTATTGCAGTTTTCCTCCCATTTGACCTGCATGTATTATCTGTAAGCACATCCTATTGACCCTATCTTCTAAAATCTCTTAAATCCTTCTCCTTTTCATTACATTGGATAGTTTAGTGGAGCAATTAAGAGCATGGATATCAGAGGCAAATCAACTGAATCTGAATCCTGATTCCTCTACTACTAACTAGGTATGAAACCTTGGCAAAATTATTTGATTTTTCAACTGTAAAAAATAGGGATAAAAGGAACCTATTTCATATGATTGGTTGAGTTAAATAAGTTAATACATGTGTGTGTGCGCTAAGTTTGAGTTGTGTTCAACTCTTTGAGACTCTATGGACTGTAGCCTGCCAGGCTCCTCTGTTCATAAGATTCTCCAGGCAAGAATACTGGAGTGGGTTGCCATGGCCTCCTCCAGGGGATCTTCCTGATTCTGGGATTGAGCCCGAGTCTCCTGTGTCTCAGGCATTGCAGGTAGACCTTTACCCACTGAGCCACCTGGGAAGCCCTCCCTAATACATGTGTAGCAAGGATTAATTTGGTGCTCAGCCAACCTATTTCCTCTTCCTAAATACCCAGCAAAACTGTTTCCTGGGTTCCTTAATAAAGCGGGGCCAGGGAATGTGAGCAGAAATGTGTCACTTTCAATCAAAGGGAGCTGAAAGAAGACATACATTTTGAATGCTCCTTCTCTTCCTTCTCTGAGACAAAATTGGAAGCAACACATAATGATGGAGGAGTTAGATGATGGGAGGATTCTGAATGGTTAAGTCCTGTCTGGAGGAGAGCTGCCCCTGTGTGCCACCACCCAGGAGCTTCTGCAGTAGATTGTGAGTGAGAGAGAAGTGACATTTTAAAGTTTTAGTGCTGAATCCCTGAGATTTTGGTTTTTTAAAAAAACATCTGGTAGTCTTATTTATCCCAAACATCACATAAATATGCTGGAAACAATGCCACAAATAGTAAGCACTCGTTCTACTTCTATGATATGAGGTTGAGTCCAAATCATCTTTCGCTTAGATTATGAAAGGACCTCATAAAATATCAACTCTTTCTAGCCTGAGTAGTTTAAGATATATTATACCATGAAAGTCTTTGTTTTGCCCAGTTACATTGTTGGTAAATTCCAAATTATTAATGTACAGAAGCAGCAAAAGACTATTATTTTGTGATTCTCATAAAGAGGTAAAACAGTAGACACTCCATTCCTCCTTCACTGCCTCAAAGAAAAGGGTCTATGATGCCAGGACTTCTACTGTCTACTTTCCACAAATGGCAACTTCTCTCCCACCACCTGCATCTTAGCCTCCTAAAAGCAGAGGTCAAGTTGCCTTGGGTCTAAACCCTGACTCTCCCACATTTTCTCCTTTCCAGGTCTCTCTATGTCTGGGATATACTCTTATGACCAATTCTTTGGTGAAACAATGTGTATAACATTTTAAAGAAAAGAATAATTCATCTTAAAAGACATTTACTATTTATGGACCAGATTTTATGCGCTGTGAATGTGCTTTAGAAAGGTGATGTCAGACTTGAAGGAAGGTTTTGTAGTTGGTCCCAAGGTCACCGCAGAGATTCACTCCAGACCCAAACAAATGGATCGCTACGCCTCTGCCAAACACTCCATCGAGAAGATTCTTTTCGTTTTTTAAATGTTGAGTTTTTTAAAATTTGGTTGTGCTGGGTCTTAGTCGAGGCACGTGGGATCTTCAATCTTTAGTTGTGGTATGTGGGACCTAGTGCCCTGATGAGGAATGGCACCCTACCCCTTACCACCCTCCTCCCCCTCTTCCCCGCCCCTTTGGGAGGGCGAAGTCTTAGCCATTGGACCACCGGGAAAGTACCAAGAAGATTCTTATAACCTGAGAGGGCAGGAGGGAAGGCGAGGAGTGGGCGCCAAGGGAGTATTGCTGGGGCAATTTAATGCCATAGCAACACTTGGCCTGGTGGTCCCCTGATTCCTGATGCTTTAAAGTTCAATTTACACAGTTATCACTGAATTCAGTAATGAGATAATTAGCTCGAAACTATTTCAGCTCAGTTTCTTGTCAGTTCAGGGGAACTAATCTACCCCCAAGGGATTTCCTGCCCGCACCTAGCACAGTGCCTGGCACGTAAAGTTCAGAAGCTCGTGAATGGTGATCACTGGGAGGCCCCTCAGACACTTCTATCATCGGTCTCTCCATAAAAAAAAGAAAGAGACAAATTTCCCATTTGCTGGATCAGTATTTCTTTATGAGCTGTGAACCAAAACCATTTCTACCATCATCACTATAATTCCACCCACAGTAATTATCATAAAGGCCTGACTATGCCCTGTAATTGGAAGTTCTGAATAACTGTCAAAACCAGGAGATTTGAGACCTCACCCCAAACCAGTAGGTGTTCAGACCTTCCTGGACAGAAATCAGTTATGCTATAGACATTCCAGTTTAATCTGTGAAGAGATTTGAGAGTAACTGAGAGCACTTAAATGGAATATACCGAGGAGATTTATTTTTATACACAGCGTGCTTGGCCCCATGCCGACCCATCATCCCCTCCAGATGCTCGGGCCTGTCCTCAGGGGCTCTGGACCGCTCGACTCCGGACAACCGCAGGGCCGCCGCCTCCGCGCCTCCCGCTTCTCGGGAAGACTCGGCCCCGCGGGCGCTCGCAGGGGGCGTCCCCGTCCGCTACTGGCCTCGCGGCTCCGGGAGCGCCGGCGGGGGACCCCGGCGTCCCGGCCGCCGAGCGCGCGCCCCTCGCCTGCGCCCCGCAGCGGCTCCGGGGGGCGGGCGCCGACCCGGCAGGCGGGGCCGGGCCGGGGGCGCACGGTCGCCCCGGAGTGCGGGCTTTCCCCACCCCCGGCGGCGACCCCACCTCCCGCCCCCGCGCCTTGCGCGCGTGTGTCCGTCTGTCTGTCTACTCTCTCGACGTCAGTGGGAATTTCCAGCCAGGAAGTGAGAGAGTGAGCGAGAGAGAAAGAGAGAGAAGTGCACCAGAGAGCCGGGGCAGGAAGAGGAGGTTTCGCCACCGGAGCGGCCCGGCGACGCGCTGACAGCTTCCCCTGCCCTTCCCGTCGGTCGGGCCTCTCGCCGCCGCCGCCGCCCTCGGCCTGCGCGCAGCCGCCGGCCCGGCCCCGAGAGCCCAGCGCAGCCCAGGCCGGAGCCGCCGCGGCCGGGAAGGCGGCGACGCCGCGGCCCCGCAACCCCGCGCCCGGCGCTCCCTCCTCCCGCGCTGCGGACATGGCGCGGCGCTGACTGGCCCGGCGAGACCGCGCGCCCGCCCGCCCGCCCGCCTGCCCGCCCGCCTGCCTGCCGGCCCGGACCCAAGCCGACCCACCCAGCACGCGGACCCGCTCCGGCTCCGGCCGGCCGCCGCCTCTCCCTTCCCCGGCCCCCAGGCCCGCGCTGCCCCGGAGCGGGAGCCACAGGCGCAGGGAGGCCGAGCGCGGACCTGCCAGCAGGGTAAGCCGAACTCGGGCAAGTGGGGGCCGCGCCGGCCCGGCTCCGGCCACCCGCCCGCCCCGCACCCCTTCAGCCCCGCTCGGACTTCCTCATTCCTGCGCTAACCGCTCGGCTAGACCGGAGGGGCAGGTTGACAGTGGTGGAGAGGCGCATGGGCTCGGCGAGCCGGGGGCCCGGCACATCCGGACTGAGCACGGGCCGCTCGGCCGGAGGGCCGCGGCTGCTCGGCAGGGCAGTTCCTTCTTCTCTGTCCCTCCGCCCGGCGGGAACGGGACGCGGAGGGGAACTCGGGGCAACTTTTCTTTTTTATACCCACCCCCCGCTCCCTGCCTGGGGTTGGCTTGAGGATTGAGGTGCGCTTGGGCGCGGAGGAGAGAGGGGAAGGTGGTTGGTGCAGTGCCGAACCAGATTTCACCTAAGGGCGTTTCATAAAATGAAAGCAGAAGTGGATGTCAGTCCTTTCAGCCGGGAAAGCCCTCCCCGGCTCCCCCAGATTGATCGGACAGCCTTATTCCTGAACTCCTCCTTCCGAAAGAAGCCCCCAGTTCACTCACATTCTCTCACACACCACCCCACCCACAGCCAGGACAGAATATATTTACCTACTATAGGACCTGTGTGTACCTTTCAAAAAGCAAGGCGGGCCTGGTACTGATCCTACAGGGACTGGCATTTGAAAGCGAAATACCCACTTAGGACACTTTTAAGACAGTCTGATTATGTAAAACACTCGGACCATGTGTTGTGCATGACTTCTCAAACAAAAATGATATAAACAAAGCTATTATGACATTTTAAAATAATACATTTTAAAAATAGCTGAGTTTTGGTATAAATTTTTGATAAAGATGTCAAAATATTATCTTTCTCATCTTCAGAACTTGTCGGTAGACGTGCTGTTCTGAGCATACAGATGACTGCAATAGACCGTGTATCTGGAAATGCAGAGTAGTTTGACCAATAGAGTAAATGTTCAGATTGTGTGCTCTTAGTCTATAGGTTGAACAGCAATGAAATTGCTGGGAGTGTTGTTTGAAAATCAATGCTAGGTAAAATTTCTCATTAACTTACCGTAGTAAATTAGGAGAGTTGTTTGTGGGATGATTGGTTGGTTGGTTGACCTTGCTGATTATCAAGATTTAAGATCTTTTCATGGACTTTGTTAAGTAGGGTTTTTCAGCATTGCAGTTAACTAAATAACTATATTTAACTTAAGGATTTTGTTTTAAAGCCCGTAATCTGCGAAAATGACTATGGTATTACTAAAACATTTAATAACTCTGGCATAGAAATGGCTCCTCTACAAACTAGTGATCTTTGGTAAACACTGAAGCTTAGGATTGAGGTATTCAGTGCTTATTTTTCTCGCAAAATACCTCAAGTGAATATTCCTGAGTAGTTTAAATTGCATTTGTGTTTGCTACAACTTTTAAAAGGGGATCTGATTAAAATAAAGCCCTCAGCTGAAGCATGTTGTTTTCCTGATTTTAACATTGTGCTTTCTAGAGATGAATCCTTTTACTGTTTGATGCGCTAAAGAAATCATGTAAATAACTTAAAGCAAAGCATTTTTTTGAGCTTGTAAACTTCAGAAGATAGGAAATAAAGAGAGATTGATTGATCATGTAATTAAATTGCTAAAGTGAGAAGAACATATATAGCAAACAGAGATCTCCTGAATTTACTTATCCATATTGACATACCTGCAACTCCTCAAAGCCCTCTGGAGCTTATTTAGATAAAATGTCTTCCTAAGCCACGGCCTACTTGGCAAATGTGAACACAAAGAAAGACTCATTATGTGTAGATTTAATGCTGGCAGTGAAATACTGCTTGCTGTGAACAGAAAACCACTTCTAACTTTGAAAGACTTTTTCGGGAAAATGCTATAATCCAATTAGGGGTTGGTGGCGTTTGAAAATCTGTTATCTTTGTTTTAAACTTTCAATTTTATCTTATGTCCTGCAGATGGCATTTACATGGGCTGAATAAAAGCCCCTGTTTTTCAAACTCGTTAGTAAATACTGGAGTATAGGTACAAAAATAGTTGTTCCCCTTTGTAAGCACTCCTTTGATCTTTGCACTTCCTTCTTCTACCTCTTAAACAAGATCATCTGTAATGACTGAGTTGCCCTTAATGAAAGCTCAATCGGTCTGAAATAGGCAGAATTTTAGATTTAGTGATCACAGTCCTCATATTTCTCTTGCTATGTTCCTTGGAACAAATTGACACTAGTTGAGAAACTGGTATCTATGGAGCTTGTTTTTACTACTACTTTCAGACTTCCAGATAACTGATGAAGAAAGTTACTACCTTAACTTAACTTTCAGGGATTGCTCATTGTGGTAGATGGAAGGCCTCGATAAGGAATTGGCAGCTACAGGAATCTTGGATTATCATTCAATCAGCAAGCCCTTATTTTTACCTAATTTATGAGAGGTATTCCCCTGTTCAGAAGAGGTGAAAGTTCTGGCTTCTGGGGGAAGTGGTTACTTCATAACCTTCAATTAGTTTGAACTTGGGAGAAGTAAGAACAGTAGTTGATATTTTGAAACAATACATTTAAAAAATGATATCTGAGTTTTTGCATAGATTTTTTATAAAGTAGTCAAAATATCTTTTTCAGAACTTATTAGTAGAAGTGCTGTTCTGAGCATAGAAATGACTGCTGTAGAAAGTGTATATGGAAATGCAGAGTAGTTTAACCAGTAAGAGGGAATATTCAGGTTGTACTCTTCTAGTCTACATATTAACTAGGAAACACATTAACAAGAGTGGATACTTAAGAATCAATGGCTATGCAAAATTTTTATTTCCCTTTTAGTGGGGAGGTTGTTTTCTTTGACTGATTGGTTTTCTGTTTATACTATAAATCATATGAAGGTGGCATGATTTATGTTTTAAGAAGAGAAGGAGGAAGGGAAAGAACAGAATTTTCAGGCTGGGGGACACTTTTAAATGTGCTGCTGCTGTGTCTGCATTTGTGTCTGATCAGAGTTCATTGACGGCTGCTGCTTGGTGACCAGAAAACCACATTGAAGCAGTTTACCCTGCGTTCTGGGAATGACTTCTCATTTGCTGTCTTGTATCTCCCATAAATACTAAATTCCCCTAGAGTGTTTTTAGAGGTGAACAAACAAGTCATCAGAAACATACCTAGTTGACCCTGTCACTGCTTAGGAGACTGAGAGTTTTAAAGATAGAGGCATTCATTCATGTTCAGAGAGGAAAGTTGGGACTTGCGACATAGTTTAGCAAGTCAGTTTAGTTCTTTGAGCATGATTTTTTGTTTTTTCCTTTTAAAAAAGATTAATATTTGCAACCAGATAATCTAGTGGAGTTAGTAGTTAAGATCATATTACCAAGACACTTATCTTGGCAATATTTCATTAATTAGTATCCAGTGCCTCTCTGTTAGATGAAAAAAAGTAACATTCTTTTCACAACGATGACATTGTTTCATACCTTTGTTGTCTGTTGTTTTAGTGAGGGCTCCTGAATGCAAATTAATATGCTTTTATATTTTCAGGTGAAGTTGGTAGACCTACTCTTGAACATCAACTAATAGCTTAGAAATTAAGTTGTAAAGTGAAATCTTATTGCTTGACTAAAATTAAACCTAAGAAGTTTTACACAACAGTGATACACGGTTTGATTTGTTGAAGAGTTTATAGACTCTTCAAGATTGTAGATTATGGATAAAAATATTTGTTGCATTTAGAATATTAATCCTAAAAACATCATTGTATTTAAAATTTTTGACATTGTATTTTAAATTTTAAAAATAAATTAGTTTTTTATTATTCTCTTGTATTTTTTACAGTAACTGATCGATTTAATTGTCAGTAGTACAAGTTTCAGCTGCATTAATTTCTTGCCTATTTGACATTAGAATAATGAAACAGATGGTTTAATTCCCCATTACAAATTGGTTTTTTACTTTTCATTTACATCTCATCATTAGACCCAAAATCTTACAACCAGCTTTTATTCTGACCGATATGGTGTACTTTTTAATAAATTATTGTTCTAGTGAATTTCAGATGATATAGTATTTAGGAAGCAAGAACTAGTTTTTTACTTCTTCCCAGAATGCAAGGTAAAATAGTATAATTTTTATTCTTTGCAGAAAACGGCTGCCTTTTTTAAAAGCAAACAAAATGGAGCAAAACTTATGGGATTCTTTCATTCAACAAATAGTTGTTGAGTGCTTTCTGTGTAGCAATAAGTGCAAAGTGTCAGATATTTGCCAGTATAGATTGGATATAATTTCTTTTTAGTTGGAACTGTGGAATTTTGATTTTCTCAGATAGTTATTTTCCTCTCCTTTTAAAGAATAAGACATCAAGAATTTTACAAAAGCTCCGTCAGTCAGAATTTTCTTTTTCATAATTTCTGGGCATAAACAAAACACAGAGCTGTAATGTTGTCACAGTCTTCACTGGAGTAGTCAAAAATTATATGGACAGTTCAAACATTTCCTACTGGAAAATAAAACTTTGGAATTTTCTTAGATTTAAGCCTTTTGATACATGAGATTCATTACATTAGTGCTTGTACATGAGATATTTCTTTTTTGCTAACTTGAACTAAAAAAATACAAAACCTACATAAAGTTAAGCATACATCTATAATAAGAGTTGAATTAACATTAAGGAAGTAATTGCTAAAATGAACTTTGTCAAAATAATTATTTTACAAAATTATCATTTTTATTACTATCTATTGTGTACTTTTACTAAACACATCAAACTATATTTCAGTGTCAGGGCAAATGTA